TGAAGATGAGCACAAAGCTGTCAATCTACATTTAGTAGAAAATTAACCTGAATGAATCGAAAATTAGCCGTAAATTAACCTGAATGAATCAAAAGGTCAAAAAGCTAAAATGCATAGCCCTAAATATTTCTTGAAGGTCTCACCTCTGTTTTAGTTTCTGCAGGTCATCGACCAGGTTGTCCCTCTCTATCTCAATGCGGGACCTCTGACTGGTCAGTGTATCCACCTGTCTGCGCAGCTCTCTCATCTCCTCCTCGTACATCTCTGCGATGCGCGTGGGCTCGCGGCCCCGCAGACGTTCAATCTCCACGGACAATGCTTGGTTCTGCTGCTCTAGGAAGCGCACCTTCTCGATGTAGCTGGCGAAACGGTCGTTGAGATGTTGCAGCTCTGCCTTCTCATTAGTGCGTGTATTGAGGAAATCCTGGTTCATGGCGTCGGCCAGATTGAAGTCCAGCTTCTCTCCAAGGCCGGCATAGGAACGGACCATTGTTCCACCACCAAATGAAGAGCTGGATGCACGGTGGCTGGAAAAAATGGGAGAAGAGGCGGTCTTGGTCATCTCATAAACTTTGGAGGACACACGAGAGGATCCAGAGGAACCTGCACGGCCAGAGAATATGGAGGAGCCCAGGCCGGAGCCGAAGGTACGGCGGTAAGAGGAAGCCGTCTCGGCTGAAGCTGAATATGCCCTGCTCATGACTGGTTTTGTACGGTGTGCAAATGCCGGTTCGCTCAAGGCTGTGTGGTAGAATGAGGGTCAAGCAGCAAAGCTGGACTATATATAGTGTAGCTAGCACCCCATCTGCCCCCACCCACATTTTTCTGTCACTGTTATCACCCCACACGGTCGCCACTTCTCTCTCTCTTTTCTAAACCTTGCTTCCTCAGCTGTCATGTCAGAGGTCTGGTTTCCAGCAGCTGGGTGGAGCAAATGGATGGGGCATGAGGTGGCACAGGTCACATAGAATGTGCTGTCATTTCTTTTGTACAAGAGGATGCTTACCAGGAAGAGCTCTTTTACCAGAATAAAAATAATATTGCATTGATAATTCTACATGGGGTTTTGGCTTATTTAACATCCACGGAATATGAAAGGGTCGCCATTTTTATGACGAAGTTATAGTTTTCTTCTCAACCGTAATTCTAAACTTTGGCTTTCACCTTTGCACAAATAACTAAAGGATACTTCCCTTTTAAGCCACTGTCTTCTAGTTGAAATATTATTTGAATCTGAAATTAGATTTAACCCTCATGGTGTATTCCGGTCATTTTGACCTGGAGAGGATTTTATTTTTCCCAACAGAAGTTAATGTTATTGCATTTAACTAAATCTTATTGACTTTTCTCACACAGGGAATATAACAAGTAAAAATTGATAGTTTTTGTACTTGGTTGGGATTTTTTCCCCCACCTTGTTATACTTGTGGTGTTCCATGTCAAAAATAACTGACCTACAAAACATTGCTTATAAATTTCTTATGTTATATCATTATCAAATATTGGATTTAATCTTTTTATCAACTTTCTTTCAATTAGCATTGGTTTTGTAATTGTTTTTGGACCTGATTGATCAAAGGCCGTGTCATATATCGATCTGAGCTTATGCATCTAATGCTGTTTTCACTCAAAATGGTTCTGTGGTATCTAGAATAAAGGTATGATTTTTTTTTCTTTTGTTGAACAGAAAATACAATGTTTTGAAAAATAGCTCTGTGTTTTTTGTTTTGTCCATACAGTGAAGGTCAATGGGACCCAGTGTTACTGTACGTTTTTTTTTTTTAACGGACTCTTCAGAAAATCAAGAAAGAAAATAATACAGGTTTGGGTTGACATGAGGGTGAGTAAATGATAATAGAAGTTTCATTTTTGGGTGAACTATCCCCTATTTAGGTTTTGCTTTGTTAAACACAGAAATTACAACCTCATCCTAAATAATTAATCCTGTGACATTTTGAGTTCAAGCAAGAAAAGAAAATAATATGAGTGTTTTGATTAAATATGCACTTCTTGCTTTTACTTTAATAATATTAAAGATAATGCTAAATGATGCTCAGATTAGTATGAGTTTAATTATAGAGCTCTTGCATATATATTTTAATGTATTTCCCTGAATTGTCAGTTCATCTAATGTATTTGCCTTTAAATGCCTTCAGCTATATAAAATAGTATGCAGTCATGAGAGAGGAGGGCTTAATATTTTAGATATACCACATCATCCTTTCAATGATGGGATGTTCTTAATTTGTTTTTCTTGTGTCATAAACTCCTACATTACACCTGGGAAGTAATGTAACTGTGTATTTGTGTCATCAAATATACCAAATACAATCTCTGTCACTCCAGCCCCCGAAGTTCTGCCTGTTCCCCAGGCTAACCATAGTGTCTGAGAAGCCCATGTTACTCCACAGCTGCTGTCATAGTTATTAATAGACTTCCAGTCTGAACCCCATCACCAGGCTGCTTCCTAAGGGCCTCTTGGAAAAAAGAGTGGACATGATGGGGCAGAGACTCAACAATCTCAAAACACTTTATTTAGACTTGTTGATACAGAATACAAATGTGTATATATTAATGCAAAATTAGTTAAATCTTTTTTTGGGGATTGGGGACGGGCTGGCATTTATATTTCTAGGTTGACAGGTTGTGGTGAAATGAAAAAATGAAATGCACAAAATAATTGTATGAGGAAAAAAAGTATGAAACTTAAAAATGATTTGGTTTCGATAAATTGTATGTTATTATACTAACATTGACTGACACAGATAGTTCAATTACTTTGAAGACCTTTTAGTCCTGTGTATTGTTTGTGTGTGTATATATTTCTAATGGAAAGGGTAGTCATTCAAAGGTTAGATGTTCTGATCAAAAACAGCAACATTACCATTTAAGATCTTAATTTAATCTGACAAATGTGTTTCATCATCACAGTGTTTCATCATTAATCCTAATCAAATTTATTTTCAGCACATCATGAGAGCAGCCTCTGAAAATTCCTGGATTACAGAGCAATTCTGGGACAGGCATGTGTCAGGTGGGAAGATGATAGTTTAAAAATGAATTCTGACAAGGTCAAAACACATGGAGTTTATGTTGCCAGGTAACCACAACAGAAATCCAGCAGTGCTTCAATAACAGCTGTCAAATCTATTTATTCAAATAAAGGTGCATGCCATGATGTCTATCGGTTAAATAACTTGCATAGTTTTTTAATTCCTTAAATTGAAATAAATATATAAAATGAGACAATAAACAGAACTAAGTTTAAATGTAGGTTTTTTTTTAAATTCCTTGTTTATATTTTAGATGACAGTGCCATAAAAAATACATTACTTATAGTATCTAAAGAAAATTGCTTTGTTAATTGCTTTGTTTTTATTAAGTCACTGAATAAGAAATGTAACTAAAACATAATGTCTGCTAATGTGTCTAAATGCCAGGACATGTGAAACCACAAATGGGTAGGGGTTATGGGAAGTGGTGGGAGTTGCCCAGTAGGTCGCCTTTCAAAAACTCCCTCTGGCTGCCTTAGCAACCTACCAAACAGGCATACACAGATTCCACCAAGGTGAAATGTCATGCAGTGGGGGTAAAGGGGAACATGGCGAGATTTTGGGACAGAGATTGAAAGATTTTAAGTATGCTAGGGCCTCTCTATAAAACATTTGAAAAATATATAGATGGAGGCCACATTTCATTAGACCTTCACATTTACAGTCATAGCAAAACTAAGAGGAAAAACAAAGATCAAGAGAATGTTCAAAATATTTTGGATAGTTTGGAAAAAAATACTTTATTTAACATTTTGTTGTGGAGCTAAATAATAATGTAACAGTCTAATTAATGGCAAAGCCATGCTCATAAAATAATGTAACTAAAACATAATGTCTGCTAATGTGTCTAAATGCCAGGACATGTGAAACCACAAATGGGTAGGGGTTATGGGAAGTGGTGGGAGTTGCCCAGTAGGTCGCCTTTCAAAAACTCCCTCTGGCTGCCTTAGCAACCTACCAAACAGGCATACACAGATTCCACCAAGGTGAAATGCCATGCAGTGGGGGTAAAGGGGAACATGGCGAGATTTTGGGACAGAGATTGAAAGATTTTAAGTATGCTAGGGCCTCTCTATAAAACATTTGAAAAATATATAGATGGAGGCCACATTTCATTAGACCTTCACATTTACAGTCATAGCAAAACTAAGAGGAAAAACAAAGATCAAGAGAATGATTGTTCAAAATATTTTGGATAGTTTGGAAAAAATACTTTATTTAACATTTTGTTGTGGAGCTAAATATTGTGCATCATATGGTCACTATTTTAAACGTATTGTAACAGTCTAATTAATGGCAAAGCCATGCTCATAAAATAGAATACCAGAATGTATAAGAATAATACTGCACTGACAATATGCGGACAGTTGGTGGCACCACAGCTCAGCTTAATCGGGTGCACCTCCTTGTAAAAAATGACGTGTTTTGTTGCTACTGTCTCAATTGGTGGTAGATTATGGTGACGTATAAATGATGATGACTGAGTATGACATTGGTTTTCTTTTGACAGTGGTTTCCTATGGCACACATAGGGGAATATACAATAAATGTTCATTTGTCATATGTTTGACAGCTATAAGCCTAATATAGGACTTTGTATATCCTTTTTAAACAACAGAAACTTTGCAATTTAATACAAATACCCCAAGTGTGATATTATATTTAAAATGGCCACTCATCCCACTGGCACTACTACTGCACAAAATTATTGCCATCATGTTAAACATTCCATATTCGTTTCTGTATGATTCCAAATAAAGGTGTGAGTAACAATTAGCATGTGTCATTGGACATGGATTTACCTCATATTCATCTGATATCAATTCTTTCCTCAGTGATATGTGGTGTAATTTTCCTTTTCACCTCAGTCTCTTCGTGGGAGGAGGGAAACAATAACCAACAGAAGGATTTCATCATCTTCTGCAGGCAATGCTAACTAACACAGCCACACACCCTGCCTACTCTTTCATTTCATAGGTAAACCAGGAGCCAGATGTATAGGCTCTAGCCCCCTTTCCTTCATTTTGCATGTAAGACTCTTCACAAACCTCCTGGTTTCCCTATGACGTAACTGCGGGTCCCCACCACACCGATGAAGGAAGGTCGTGATTCCCGCTCCAGATCCGCACCAGAAATTCAGTGCATTCGTTAATGTCTCTGTGTTTATTACTGCCTAAAACGAAAGCCTACAGTTAAGTTGTCTTACCTGACGCGTCCATCATTTGTGCTACGAGCGTTTAGCACAAGCCTGCGGCATCGACAGACAAAATGTGGATTTAAATTCTTGACGGAGGGCGATAAAACAACGCGTGCTGACTTCAATCCCGTGGATAGTTAATATGATGCATCCACGAGTATGGAGAGCCCTGTTTTTGATGTCCGTATTCTGCCAGCTTGGGTTGGCAGGCAAATACGGTAGGTGTGAATGTCGCTAGATAAGAAAATGTCATGAAAATCGATTGAAAGAATGGCAGTTTCATTGTGCACAGACGTGCATTGGTGTGGTTGTTTAGGCCTGTAAATGTGGCCACATTTATTTACATACAGTACAACAAATGCTTCTACTCGTGGGCAATGTAGTGTATTATGTGTCATATGGGATAACGTTTAAGATGGTTTCATATAGATACGTGCCATTATTTTAAAATCCCTTGTTGAGAAGATTTGCATATTGTGTTTGGTTCTTATTGCCATTGTGAACACTTCTCCCCCTAAACATGCATCAAAAGTGTTATAGACGTAAATTGAAGTGTTTTTAGCTTTATCATGCAACTGGTGGGAAAGGACAGTATGGAGACAAGGAGTCGTTCAGTGAAGAGTACCATTTCAGCACCATGGAGAGGGTCAATTTTCATATTTGATTATTTTGAAAGCATCTATCCACTTTATGTTTTATTGAAGGCTATGCATATATCATCCAATATATGTCGTCCTCCTCTATGCAAGCATTATCTGGTTAACAGAAATACTCTCTACTCTCCTTCCCTGCTCTGACCAATAGAAATAACTCTTCTCTGTATCCTTAGCGACACGTCGGCGACATTGGATGAGTGACCCATTTGCAAATATTTCTGTAATATATACTCTAATCTACTACGTTTTATACATTTTCTACTTGATCAACAGTCTCTCGATTGCACTCTCGCAGTTTGTTTAATGGACGATTGCTTTCGTGAGGTTGTTGGGATTTAATATTTTCGTGCGTTTTTCATGCAGTTGTGTTTACTATTGACATTTGTGACCCTGGAGCACAAAACCAGTCTTAAGTCGCTGGGGTATATTTGTAGCAATAGCCAAAAAAACATTGTATGGGTCAAAATTATAGATCTTTCTTTTATGCCAAAAATCATTAGGATATTAAGAAAGATCATGTTCCATGAAGATATTCTGTAAATTTCCTACTGTAAATATATTAAAACTTCATTTTTGATTAGCAATATGCATTGCTAATAACTTAATTTGGACAAATTTAAAGGTGATTTTCTCAGTATTTAGATTTTTTTGCACCCTCAGATTCCAGATTTTCAAATAGTTGTATCTCGGCCAAATATTGTCCTTTGCTAACAAACCATACATCAATGGAAAGCTTATATATTCAGCATTCAGATAAAATTATAATAATTTTGGGGAAAAAATGACCCTTATGACTGGTTTTGTGGTCCATGGTCACATTTATGAATGGTATGAATTTTCAGTATCCTTTGCACAGCCTGGTTAAGGCTGCTCTAAACCGACTCAGATGCTGCGTTTAGTTCTGTGTAAATAAAACGCAGCGCCATGAAAGCGTATATATCTAGTTATTTATTTACACTTTGATTATTTAAATGTATAATATTTCTGCAGTCTTGGCAAGCATGAGTTCCGTCTCATTCACCATAACATTTCCTCTCATTTTCGGAGGGCTAATTTTGATGTAGTTATTGACTAGCAGGGTCTTTGTATAAGGTTGTTGCTGCTTTAGCCTGATACGAATTTACACAGACAACTTGTTTGGATTATTTTGTGCAAATATATTGCTTATAGTCTTAACACATTTATATTCGCACCGTGTATGTCCGAGTCTAAACTCTGGCAGTAGTTGGTGTTGTTCATTACGTTGTTTACAAGAATTCAGTGCACTTTTAATCATTAATCCAGCGTGAGTGAAGTCATCAGTGGAAAGTGGAAATGAGATGTTGACATCACATTCTGTTCTATTTCTAAATCAGCAGTGCACAAGTTCCTGGTGGAAAATAGCTGTAAAGAATGAGCAAACTTTACACTTCCCATTTTGATCAAAGTAAACTGGAGTGTTTCAAAAATAACTGTTTGTTAGAACTGTGTTCAGTAACCTTCACTCTTCAATATTATGAAAGCTTGTTTTGCAGTGCAGCAAACGGGTTTTTATTTATTTATTTTAACACATATTAGGACTTTTCACACTTGAAATAGTTAACCATGGATCATTCTAAATCCCGGGGAAACGGAATCACGTTTCACACAGGTTTCTCAACAGGTAAAATGGGCTACTTTTAATAAAAGGTCCAGCATATTAGGAATACTTTTAACTTGAAGTTTAGCATACCTTCTGTGTCTTTGTGTATTTTGTCAAGTCTTTGAATTTTGGCTTGCACTTCTGTAATGGAATCTGAATTTCTTTTTCCACACCGGCTAAACACACTCTGGCTGAGCTACAGTAGCCACGCCCCAAACTCTCGCTATTAGCTGTGCAAATACATAGGTTGACAGGTAGGACAGAAGGAACATTTTTAAAGTCACCATGAAATCAAAATGGAGAATTCTTATTTTATAATGGAATACTGTAGTGTTTATTGTAAATAATTTATCCGTGCTCTTCATCATTATTTTTTAAAAATTCATGTGCCCTCATAATCTTTAATCAATAACGTTAACCTCCCCTCCCCCTCAAAACGACTCATCTTCTCTTCCGGTCACGAGCTATGGCGCAAGGGCGGAGCTAGTGACGTGAGGGGTGAACGCTGGGATAAACGACAGGGGGAAGAGCTGAAGCTGATGCTTCACTTTATAGCACTGACACCAGTCATGAGGGAGTACGTTATCCCTAAACATTGAAAAGATATGAGGATATTACGACAACATTACTCTTAGGACATTGCAAACTAATTTTTTTCATGAGTATGCCGTGCGCGCGCTGTTTAGCCATGTTTTGTGCGTTGATCGTTGTCGTCGTCCTTAATAAATAAAACATTTATTGCTTGGGTGTCGGCTGTGAATCCAGTGGAGAGAAATCCCCCACCACTAACTGCAAACTGGCATTCAGATCTGCCTCCATTTTGTTAGCAACGCCCCAGCTTCCAACTATCCAATCAATTCCCGAAGGATGAAATCAAGTCCCGCCCTCTCATTTCAGATGCCGTTTCACTCGGATATACATCACAGTAGAGAAGAAAAGACAATCGCTACTTCCGTTTCATGCCGACTTTAAAGGTAAGAATGAAACGGTCTCTTTATCTAAATGGTTTTCCGTCACCATTTGACATTTCTCCCCTCAAACGCAGACGGTGGTGTTTTTGTGATCCAAAGCACGCGACTGGTTGTCTGTTGCTAACGAGGGACACTACTAGACGATTTTCAGATCTTAACAGATTATAGTATTATATTATTATAGCTATAATATCATATTATATAATAATATGGTAGCCTATATAATATCATATTATTAGTATATAGCCTAATTTTAGTATAATATAATAAAATATTTTAATATTTGCGGTGTTACTCGCTGCTTTTCCTGAATGGACTTTTCTATGAATGGAACGTCTATATCAAAAATATCAATCATGTTTGATATTTACGATTTAAGTTCGGGGACGCGACTCTCGATCGGGAGCAGTTAAATGACACCAGGATTTTTTGGACAAAAACTCGTTTGCAACAAGCCTCGAATCGGGCGAAGCCCAACCCCCCAAATCGGCCTTAAAATCTTCAAGTGTGTGTCTGTCCAGCCTTTAGCTTTAACACCGCATTGTTACACTGTTACACTGTACAAGTTTAGTTCCGCAATGCGACAATTAACGACGCAATGTGGTGCTAACTGCTTCTGCGCAGGGTTTCGTTACCCCGGGTAAAAAGCGTTGCTAACCCCGCTTCTAAATTGCAAATGTGAAACGTTTCATTAGTAAAGGAAATTTACCCGGGGTTAAATAAGCATTATAAAACAGATAGTTCCGGTCCTTGATTCTGATTGGTTGAGCCGCGTTCGAAGCTGTTGTGAATTACACTACAAACCTTTGTTTACTTCTGTGTTGCTCGGCAACCACTTTATTGGAACCACAGCTGTTTCTGAGGAACTACATTGTTTGGTGGAAGAATACTGTTTTTATTAATATCATTACACTTTATTTGCTCTGTTTTATTCTGTGAAACCTTACTACGTATATGGAATAACTCTTTTTATAAAAGCAACAAGCCCCGTGAAGCCGTGGTTTACAGTGAATTTATAACAGCTAAGGTCGCGTCGTGCCTAACGGCTTCTTGGGGTTTATTGCTTTAGTTTAGAACCACAATAATCTGGGATTAAGCGCACATGTGAAAAGCCCTAATCTGGTTTATAATTTCATTTAGAATTTTTTTTCACCAAAAACCAAAACCCCAATGCTTTTAACTGTCTAAATCAGTTTTTAGGCCACTTTACTTTATTCTCTCCAGCTTTATCAGCCTGAGTCTTTGTTTGTCCTGCTTGGTTCCCCTGACAGCGGTGCTGTTGGCCAGCCTAGAGTTACACACACACACACACACACACACACACACACACACACACACACACACACATACATATATATTCAGGCACACAAACAGACATACACACACCCATATACACGCTTAAGCATAGCCAGGTCATGCTCTGGCAGATATGGTTTCTTTTTATTTGATCAGCTGTGTTCGAGTTTTTCTCCTCATTCTATCTGCCCACACAGCAGTTCTACATCTTAGGGGAAACTAGCTACTGCAGTCATAGGCCATCATGGACGAATGATTCTTATCTTGATTCAATATTGTTTATATGCTTTCGGATTGTGTTTTTAAGCTATAACTCTAGTACCAGAGTCAGAAAGTTGGAAAGCCAGATTTGACGCATTGGTTTATGGTTGAGATGTGTTGGTGAAGGAAAGGTCACTTAGACATCACTTGAAAAAAGTCTATACTATATCTCCATTGATAAAAATACTTTTGAGGTTTTCAGTAGTTGTCAATTTAATGTTAATGTTTTATTCTGTTTTCAACTGCTCCTCTTCTTCTCTCTTTCTGTCTCTTGCATACAGGCTGTTTGTTTGAGAAGAGGCTGTGCTCTAGGGAGCAGTTCTGCTCTGATGGTGAGTATCACAATAGGGAGACAATATCATATGGCGTAGATACAGTACATCTTACGTTCAGAAACAAGGACGTGGTTCTATCTTCTGCGTCCTGTCTCTTTATTTCTTGCTCTTGATGATGTAATTGTGATTTCCGGATCATCATTTGACACCGCAGCTCTGTTACATCCTGCTAGTGCTAAGACGCAACAGGAGACACATGCACACAGCTAAATAATTTACACTGCAGGAACTTTCACTTCACTCATTTCATATTAGTCAGCATTAACGAAGATAGTGTTGGTGTATACTGGAGGCGGATGTTTATGTTCTTTGTGTCAGCATTTTACATAGATCTGGAAAAATCTGGAAATTATTGTATTTTGCATTATTTTCTAAATTAATATTTTTTTCTGTAACACTTTACAATAAGGTTTTATTTGTTAACATTAGTTTACATGAATTAACAATGAAAAATACTTATATTAATCCTAGATAATGTTAATTTCAGCATTCACTAATGCATTATTAAAATGAAAAGCTGGATTTGTTAATATTATTTAATGGACCTGAGCAAACATGAACTACCAATGAACAGTTGTGTTTTATTAACTAACGATAACAAAAATTAATAAATACTGTAACAAATGAACAATTTTGTAACAAAAAATTGTAAAAAAAACAGTGCTACCATATTTTTTTTGTTACAAATGATATTATTAGTTTAACAATTTGAATGGAAAGTAAAAAAATGGATTTAAACAAATTTCAGCTGCACAAACTCCACAAGTTTGTGTAAACTTAATGATGTAAAACCAGTATGATTTGAGAATGAATTGTTTTTGTTTGAATGCAATTACCTGAAAATTCCAAACTGGAATCATTCACATTTCGTCTATTATTTTGTACTCCTCTCAGGGATTTACTGTGTACGTATTTCCACAGCCATGAACCACTAGTATTCTGTCACCTGCTCTTCTCTCTCACCGTCAAGTCCCTCCCACCTCTGCTCCATGTCCCCTTGGTAACGGTGACATCATCAAGCTGATGACATCACTGATGACTCACTACACGGTGCTTACGCACAGACTCACGTCTTTGCCGTGCATCCAAACACACTCATACGCACATACGCGCCCATATATACCCACATGCATACCTGCAAATTAAAAAGAGGTTACACAAATATGAGGAGCTCTTTGAAATGCATTTCAGAGACTCGTGTTCGCAGTGACGATTAGCTGGGTCTTGGGTTGCTGTACATGGTCAAGGCTTCCGTATACCCAGTGTCAAAAAATGATGGAACAGAGGAGTATAAATAAGCTTTTTTTCTTTTTTTTTCTAGTGAAATGCAGTTTGCTTTCAGTCCAGTCTCTTTTGTTCTGACACCTCCACACACACACTTACTGAAAGTCAGGTGTTTGTATTACACTGAATATGTACAGAGACACAGAAAGTGGGAAAAGGGAGTTATTCACCTTTTATATAACATACTCTGGTGGTGCTTGTACTGTTTAATTTCTACATTTTTTCTCGTAATTCTGAGTTTATATCTCACAATTCAGACTT